CAAAAGCGCCTGCCTGGCAAGCGCAAGGTCGTGAGTTCGGTTCCCGGTACCGGAGAAAAACCAAAAAAAAAAAAAAAAAAAAAAAAAACAGGCATAGAAAAAATATATATACATGCTGTCATGGTCGTTTCTGGAAATGAAATTACAAACGAGGGGTTTTTTGCATTTATATTTCTTTATTTTCTAAATTTCTATATTGCATATATATTTCTTTAAAAAGTAAGGGGAGGTTTTTATTTCATTCTGTTTAATGTCTTTATAACCTAAAAATATTATCAAAATGCAATAAACATACCTTCATAAATTTCCTGGCTCCTCTCCATTTAGTAAACGAAGCCTACAGAAGTGATGAGTTAGTATAAAAATGACTGTCTCAGAGTTGGATTTTTCACCCATGTCATTTACTATTATCTATACCTGCATTTATTTCTGTTTTTAAATGGATTAGCACATTATACTGTAGTAAAGGGTTAAGATTTATAATGTCTATCTTGAAGAAAGGGCTTGTGCCGGGATATAGCTCAGTGGCACACGTGCCTGCCTGGTGAGCACAAGGTCCCCCCAAAACAAAAGACTTGTATCTCTGTTTCTCCATCAATTCACGAAAATAAGCTGAATTAGAAGCCCAATTTATTACAACAGTGACAACTAAAGGTAAGTACAGCATTTTCCTTCATTATTCTCAGATACTTAGAAAATTTTACCAATAGTCTTTCATTACTTTGGGTTAATTTATAAATAGATTTTACAGATTAATGTACTTTTTCCCACACATCTGAAATTGAGAAACTAGTCTGAGTTTCTTCAGTGTTCTTCAGATGCTAAGAGAAAGAGGTTCCTTCTCAATGAGACATTCTATTCATCTTATCCTAGAGTGAAAAAAAAAAAGAATATATAAACAAGTGTTTCAATGAAATTATCTAGCTGAGAGTTACTGTGTAGGAAAAGTACCTGGAAATATTGCAATCCACAGAAAACCTCTCTTAAACTATTAGTTGCAAGATGCCAAATGTATATGAAATACATGCAACTTTTCATAGTTTATACACTAAATACAGTAGGTTCTCCCAACCATTGTTTGTATTCTGTTTAATAGGTAGAGAAATGTACTTTTCAGGAGGGGTAAACATGTGTGGCTCAGCAGCCTAGGCATTTGCCAAGTATTTTCTGGCTCATTCATCCCCTGGTTCTTCTCATGATGAATGGCACCTACTGTGCCAGGCACCACGCTAAGTGCCAGGAGAACATTGACAAGGAGGAGATACGGTCTCATCTTCATGATGAGGAAGAGATAGCGAGCTTTTTGATAGTGTATGAAATCCTATGGATTTTTTTTTAAATTACCTATGCGTTCTGCTCCTCTAATCCATTTTATGCATAGTATCTCTTTTTTCATTGATAATGAGAAATGTCATAATTCTTAGTTATCAATCAGATTCGTGTAAATTGACCAGTTGTGATGGTATAGCAAATAGTAGCAGCTGATACCATATGGCAAAAATCCACCTGGTAACTTGCAGAAAGGAAGCTATATCAAACACTTGTATACCGTAACATGATCACCATAAAGGCATGACATTGGGTACAAATGGAGGACTGGGGTCTGCTAGGAATGTAGTCTGGATGGGTTAGCAATACGGGGGAGCCAGGAACAAGTCTATCCTAAATTGATGAAAGCAATGCAATTATGGTCAAAATCAAACTTACTTTTTATCATCTAATTCCAACTGATGAACTGAATAACCCACTGGACTTTTATATCTTCAAATAAAGATAATTTATGCTTTAATCAGTCTTATAATATGAATTTAGGAAATTACGCATCTTTAAGTAGTTTTGTGAGTTTTCTTGGAATGATGAATGTAGCTACTATAAATGGGATTTCACAAAATCAGAGGAAAATCAAGACAAACATTCCCCCCAGCAGGAAAGTGGCCCAGGTTTGGGTTGAATCAACCATTACTTCAGGACAGTGAGATCTTTGTGGATTATGAGCATAGTTGCCTCCTAGGTTCCCAGCCCTGATCCCCTTGCCCCAGAGCACTGGCATTTGTGCCTATTTAGTCACAACCTTCCACATGACTCTTTTATTATTGCCCAGTGACTAGATTATCTGGCTGCCCAGTGGTTAAGGACATAATTTTAGAAGTCACATGGATTAAGGTTTATACTTTTGACTCCATTACCTGGTAAACATGGGATCTTATGTAATGTAATATCTCCATGCCTCAGTTGTCTTACTTGGAAAATGGAGATTATAATCCTCACCTCATGTGATCAAATGGGTTACATAACTCTATAAAACATTGACTGCCATTCTTGCCACATGGTAAATAGGGGCTACTACTTTATTTGTATTATTATTATTATTATTATTGGTACCAGAAATTGAACTCAGGACCTTGCACTTGCCAGGCAAGTGCTGTGCTGCTGAGCTATATCCCCAACCCTACTTTATTATTATTAAACTCAGGTCTCCATAACTGGTTCCTGTTTGCTTCATGAATTCCCTTTAGTAAAAAGTTTTGGTTTTGGCTTTAGCTTTCTTTCTCAGTTTCTCAGTGGCTATGTTTTCCAGCTACTGACCCCACATCCCATAGGTCCCTGTCCGGCCTTGTCCCTAGCGGCACTTTTGCAAGGCTTTCATTTCACTGCAGTCTAAAAGACATCCCAGATCCCAGGTGCTGTTTAGCTCAGGGATGCAGCAGTGCCTCATAGTTAAAGCCCAGTGTCCCTGGGCTCTGGGGACAGGCCATCTGGGTTCAAATCCCCTTACTTCTACTCACAAGCTGAGTGGTGCTGGCTAAATTATTTATTCAGCCTTTCTGTACTTTATTTTCCTTAATTATAAAATAAATTACATTTGTTTCATATTATTGCAAAGATTAAATAAAATATTAAATATTTCTGTATATATTAAGAATCTACAATAAGCTGTACTTATTGTTGGCCATTATGATCCATATCTTGGTTGAAAATATGCACACTTGGCTTTTACTCATTCCTTTCACTCAGAGTTATCACTGGTAATACATTTGGAGGCTCATGTACCCCATTGCATGTTTCTACATTATTTGGATACTGTGCTTTCATGTCCAGACCTCTGTCTTCCATATATTCTGCTACAAATGACCCTGGAAGACACTGGCTATGACAGTGAGAAAGGACCAATATTTTGTTCCAAGATATATGTGTGCTCATCTAAAGAAATCACCAGCAGAGTAAAAAGAAAACCCACAAATTTGGAAAAAATTTTAGCTCACTGTCTCTCAGACAAAGGGCTTCTATCTAGAACATATAAAGAATTAAAAAATATCAGCCCCCCCCCAAATTTAAAGACCCAATCCAAAAATGGGCAGCTGAGATGAATACACACTTCTCAGATGAGGAAATATAAATGGCAAATAAATACATGAGAAAATGTTCAACATCATTAGTCATTCAAGAAATGCAAATTAAAACAACATTGAGATTCCACCTTACCCCAGTACGAATGGCTAGCATTAAGAAATCAACCAATAACAAATGCTGGTGAAGCTGTGGAGAAATAGCAACACTTCTCCTCTGCTGGTGGGAATGCAGACTGGTGAAACCACTGTGGAAATCAGTTTGGAGATTCCTCAGAAAACTAGGACTAGAGGTCCCATTCAACCCAGCTATTCCCCTTCTGGGTATTTTCCCAGAAGATCTAAAATCATCATATCACAGTGATACATGTGTACCTATGTTCATAGCAGCACAATTTGTAATTGCTAAATTGTGGAAGCAACCCAAATATCCATCCACCAAGGATTGGATAAGAAAATTGTGGTACTTTTATAGAATGGAATGTTACTCAGCTGTAAAGAAAGATAAACTCGATGGCTTTATATTTAAATGGTCACAACTAGAGACCATACTCATAAGTGAAATGAATCAGACCTGCATGTGAAAGCACCACATTGTCTCACTAGTGTAAAACCTGAAAGAGTTAATTTAAACTAGGAGGTATGATAGACATTGTGAAATGATAGGAAAACACTCAAGGATAAAGGGCAATTGGGATGTGGGAAAAGAGAAGGGAAAGAAGGAGAAATTTTGTATGTACATATATACAGGATAGTTAACATAGTTGTTCTACTGTCTTCTATTTCTTTGCTGAAAGAAACTGTCAATGAGTCCTTGATTGATCAATATTGCATGTCTCTATTTGTTTTCATGAGAAATCACTTTGAAGATATCAATATGTAATACAACAAGCATTGTTAATTTCCTACCACTTTGTTTGTAATTCTGTATTGCCTGTACTGTTCTTTTGCTATTTTGTAAAAGGTTGTCTGTCTGTTAACGTTTTCCTCCTTTTATTTCTAAAATTAAAAAAAAAGACAAAGAAAAAAAAAGGGGGCTGGGGACTTAGCTCAGCGGCAAAAGCGCCTGCCTGGCAAGCGCAAGGTCGTGAGTTCGGTTCCCGGTACCGGAGAAAAACCAAAAAAGAAAAAAAAAGATTTATGTCTGCTGAGGAGCAGTATAGGGGTCCAGCAATACACTGGATGAAATAAGGGACCCAAGCAAGGCACTTGCGTTGTTCTTAACTTCCTCATCTCCTTTCCTTCACTTCACTGCAAACAAAGATCATCCATCCAGAAGAATGGAAAATGCAAGACCACACACACACACACACACACACACACACACACACACACACACAGGCTGGCTGTGACCCAGAAAGTCTTTTGCAGACAAGAAGTAAAGAAAAAAGTCAGGAGTATAAGTCTGGTATTTTGTGTGTTCTGGGAACACTTTGATTAGTAGTTTGACTGACAGAATGTGATTAAACAAAAACTAACTTGAGAGAAAGAAGTCAAAAGGAGGTTGACTGTTGATCTCTGCCCTTAAACAGCGCATATACCCTTGGTTTGTAAACTGCTCGGTACCCTCAGGGGCATCCGTAGAATTTAAGGGCATCGGGTTCTTACTTCTCAGTCCTCCGTGCCTGGAGTAGCACTTGGCTTGCGGCAGTAAATTGTTTCTGCTCGGCAGTCCTGGCTTTACACCTCCCACAGGGAGATTCTTTTTAATGCTCCAAATCCTTTCCAGGGCCACTGTCAATATTTTCAAAAGGAAGATGATGACTATTAGTGTGTTCTCTTTTTAGCACGAAGTGTTCTTGAGTGTTTATTTGATGAGTATATTTTTCAGTTATTGGGGTGGAGGTTTATTTTGTTTAATTCCGCAATCCACCCAACCAAGGTTTTTGTCATTTATTTAGTCTTTTATTTCACTTCATATATTCATTTAGTTTCCATGCAATTAAGTCTCTATAGTGTTCTTATATAACTTAACTGCACCTAAACAACTACAAAAAAGCCACTATAGGTACACATATAACATGACACAAAAGGATCCTGAATAAATAAAAGTTAATACATAGAATTTATTCAGCCAACTTTATGATTCTGACTTAATTCCTGCAATAAATGGGAATGTTTCCACAGAGAAGAAAACCAAAAATTCCATAATAATCATACTATCTTTAAATAGGTAATTCCACATGTATTTCACAAATATACTTCATTTGTCACTGAGATTACCTGAAGGTGGGTTTTTAATATGGCATTCATCTCTCTTGATATAAAGTTCTTCTTCTAAAACTTCCTTAATTCTCTTATGTGGCTCACAGTATAAAAATTTCTTCCCTGTAAAGCATTAAAAAATTGGTTATTTATAAATTCTGCCCAACCTTCTAGCCATTGCATCTAAATGGATGACTTTTTAAAAAGATACATCAGGGCTGGGGATATAGCTCAGCAGCACAGTGCTTGCCTGGCAAGCGCAGGGTCCTGAGTTTGATTCCTGGTATAAATAAATTAATACATATATACATATATACATACGTATATGCATAACATGTCATTCATAGCAAACAATTTGCCCTGCAGATTCAACCTTGGACAGATCTCTTCCATTGTAATTTCTGGTTCTTTGGGAATTTCACTTTCATGTAATTCCTGAACTTGTCAGGTAAGTTTCAAGTACCTCATTTAGGTATTCTGAAAAAATATATGGAATTTTCTCCCTAGCTTCAAGAAAAGAACACTTTCACTCAGTTAGTCAATAAATTCCTATTAGAGCCCTACTCTGTACCAGGCATTTGTCTTAGGATTGAGGACAAAACAATGAGCAAGAAAAATGTGAGCAGGAAGCTTACAACTCAGGCACAGATTAAAGAACGACTTCAGCATTATTAATCATACTTTAAAGATCAAATCTGAATTATAATAGTGAATGACTTATAGACATCTGACTTCTTCCTGGCCTCTAAATTTGGCCCTAATTACTACTACACTCAAGGACTGAATTATTTGTTCTGAAGACCTTAGCTACTTTTCTTTTCTTTCTTTCCTTTTTACTTTTTATTTCTTTTTTTAATTACAGTTTTACATTTCTTCTGCTCACCCTGGAGGACAGAGCTCCAGGGCACTGCCTGGCCTTGCCTGCTTGCTCTCACTGGCACCCTTTCTGTTATTTTCTGGGCTCCAGCACATGGTCCTTTGTCTATTCCCACCTTTGCACATGCTGTCTTCTATGCCTGAACTGTCTTTCTCTTGATTTTTTTTTTTTTTTGCCTGTATAACTTCTACCCAAAATTAATGTCTCAGCTTAAATGTTAGTTCCTCAGGGAAACTAGCTCCTTGACTCCACAATGTAGAAATGTCCTTTTCTGAAAATGCGCTCCTTTTTTCTTTGCTTTACTGTGATTTGCCCACAGCTTGGTTTCACTTAAGTATATTTTTGTGTACCTATTAATTTAATATCTGTCTTCTTTACCAGACCATAAGCATTATACCAATGGGGAGGTTGTATTTCAATTTGTTAAAGCCCTAGAATAGAGCTTGGCAGAATAACAGATGTTCAGTGAATGTGTGTTTGGGTGGAACTAAGCACTGTTAGGTTAGACAGATCTCTAAGTAAAGACTCTTCTTATGCACATGTCTGCCAATGCAGCCCTGTGAATGTCAGGGAACCAGTGATTCTAGTCTCAGTATCCAATTCAAGGAGCCATGGAAAAACAAATACGTTAGTTATTTATGCTTTGGTTTCAAACTCATAATGACACAGCAGGTGTCTTATCTTTTCCAGACCAACCAATAAAAAAATACCATTGATCCATCAGATTTGACTGTAGATTCTCCCAAAGGAGTCAAGAGACCCACCGCATTGTCTTAGTTACTTCTTTTGTTCTGAGACAAAATAGCTGATACCCAAAGTTGAAGGGAGAAAGGTTTATTTAGCTCACAGTTTGTAGAGGTTTCAGTCTATAACTGACTGACTCCCAGGTGGGGTGGCACAGCACACAGGCATCACAGAGCAGAAACATTTTGTGGTGGGCAGAAAGTAGCAAAAACAAGGGACACTCACAGCCCTTTCTATCCCTATATCTTATCCTGCGTAAGTGGGTAGCATTCATACCCTTGCTTAGGGTGGGTAGCACTCACACCCTTCATCCTAGTGCCCTTGAGCCTAGCCTTGCACCATGAGTCAATTCTAGTGTCACACACTATAGATCCAGCCACCTCTGAAAAAGCCCCACCTATGACCTCATGATTTGGAGGGACATTTAAATATAAGCAATAACAGGCCCCTAACAGTGGCTCTGGCTTATTCCTGGTCACAAAATAGACTAGTCATGAGTATTCAAACACACCCTCAGACACAGACAAGGTAGAATCAGATACTTTTAGGATCTCATTCTTAGTTTGTAAAAGTTGGGAGTCATATAAATGAGGCATAAGTGTCAGCATTACTTGAACCTAACTTTAGTTTAAACTTTTTCTGTAGAATCATGATCTTCAGCCAGAAAAGTGTTTAACGAACACAGCTAGGAGGGAAGCAAAGTCTGTAATGGGACAGCAGAGAGAAGAATTACCTACTCTGAGTTCAGGTCTCCTGACAAATTTCAGCTTTGTTGCTAAGAAAATGTACAGAGAAACTCACTAAAAGTGATTTGGGGAGCTATGAAAATTGAGTGAGTAGCTGGTATGGACAAATATCTTCTGCTTAAAACAGGAAGAAAAGAAGGAAGAAGGCAAGGAGGGTAGAGGGAGGGAGGGAAAGGGGAGAAAAGAAGAAAATCTACCAACTGTATCATAGCTTGATGTTGATCTTCAACATTTGGAGTGTATGGTCAGCCAATGCTATATAAATAATGGGGAATAGTAATCATTAAGTGTTAAGAAGGACTGGTAAATAATGTTATTCCACACTTTCTTTTAGTTTTTTTTTTCTGATACCAGGAATCGAACTCACAACCTCGTGCTTGCCAGGCAGGCACTGTGCCACTAAGCTAAATCCCCAGCCCTTACACTTTCTTTTAGAACAATTTTATTTCAGGTTTCCTTTTGTTGAGAGCATCGCTACAGTTTATTTAGTGTTATCAGGCCTTAGGTATCCTGCATATATTATTTCCCTTTCTCACAATTACCTGTGGCCAAGTATAATTAGTTCTAGTTTACAGTTAAATCTGCTCTAAAATTTTCTAACTTTTTGCGTGAAATTCATATATGTTACCTAGAAAAATTCAAGGAACAAGAATTTGAAGAGAACACATTTCATTATGTTCCATTATTATAGATGTTCCAAAAAAAGAATGCTAGTCATTGAAGGGTTAAGCAGATGACTTCCTGAAGTCATAAAACTAAAGTCATAAAAACAAGAGGCCACACCCACCCGACTCCTCCACACCTCAGGAGATACTAAACCACTAAATTTGGAGGCATCCACAATGTATTTACATTTAACAAGGGAGTTGATAAAGTAGATCTCTAGGTGGCAGAATGCCCATGACAAAGATGCTGTCAAACAGATAAAGGATTTATAAAGACTACTTGGTTCTACTGAAATCACCATCTAATTTGCTGATTTGGATAAAGGAACTACCAGAAAACTCACCAGTTCTGAGAATGGCGCAAACTAAGTTGCAGAATCAGCCCTCAAGGGCTACTTTTATACCTGGAAGAAAGTGCAAACATCCATAGGATGGTACTGGTAGAGATGGATATAATGACTTGTATTTGGGATCAGTGAAATCAAATACATAAGAATAGGATTGAAAAGGCCTGAATTAAGTTTATTCAGGAGAGCAGAACTGTGCAAAGGGAGAAGACAAATTAAGGACTATCGTAAATTGAGTTTGTCTGATATGTTAATGTAATGTCTGCCAGAACAGATCCAAAAGTTATTTTGGATCCACTTAACAGAATTACAGTGTGTTCTAATCAAGACAATTACAGTTCCACCATACTACATAATCAGATCAGACCTATAATCCTGGGTTCAGGAATTTAACTACTGGACAGCATAGGAAGAGGTCAGCCAGAATGGTGAGAGCAAGCACTACAAACGATGTTAAGGGTGGCCTTAGTTCTATAATAAATTTAGAATTCAGATAGCATTTATACAATTCAAAGATATTATACACGAAAAGACCTCTGTTAGTCAGCTTTCCCTTCTCTGGGACAAAATATTCTACACCGACCTCAGAAGCCAGTGAGTGTGGACACCTGCACTAACTTAGGACTCCTTTCCTGCAACCTGCCCAGTGCTTGGCATGAAGTACAGACTCAGTATATGTTGGGTTAGTGACTGAATGACTAAGTCCATCCCTTACTCCGAGAGCCACAAGACCAAAAGACCTTCAGATGCTAGCATTTTAATGGGGAAATTGCCAGATAGAATTTTAAGTAGGAATAATGAATCTGTATTACTTAAATATGAATTTAGTTGCTCTAATTAAGGCCTCAGAATGCTATTCATGGTGACAAAGGAATGAAATATGGCAGTCACAGTGAAGCTGATGCTGAAGGAGGAGGCCCCTTTCTCTGATTCTGTGTCTACTTTTTGATGAGGTCTCAGGAGAGAAAGCTATGTGGTCCACTGCATCCCAAGTACTGAGTACTTCAGCCCAACACTCCCTCCTGGGGCTGGCCAGGGCCTAGGGAACCAGGAAAACCTCCAGTTGCTCCCCAGAGATGCAATCAAGGAGGTGCTGTTGGAGAGTTGGAAGCTACTTGCATTCCTTTTCGGCCTTATTACTTTCACCATCATTCCTTAGCACCTGTGGAAGACCGGTGGCAGGAGACCATGAAATAGCTGTAATTCACAAAACAGCATGGTGAGTGCAGTAACCTGGCCAAGATTCAAGTTACAGCCCTGTCAGATGTGGTCAACACTTGAATATTGTTTGAATGTTTGGCAGGACAGGGAAGAAATGGCAGTATGTTTAAATCTGGCCCCTAACTGTGCGATTCTAAAAGAATCAGGTAGCAATTTATGAATTTAGAAGTCTAAGAGTTGAGAGTTGAAGTGCTTTAAGTATTTCTCCAGCTTTGGTTGAGTGAGGTTGCAAATTATTTCCTTTCTTCTGGTCTGTACTTCAGTTTCCTAATCTATAAAATGAAGGAATTGGGAAACTCATCTGCATGTTTCCATGTGCATTTATAGCCATATACATACACACACACATATATATTATATACATGTAAATGTGAGTCATATATATACATATATAATATCCAGATTAATGCCATTATCCACCCATTAAGTCAAAGGTGATGCTGGGCTCAGACGCCATTTGTAAAACAAAGCTCAGGGGCCTGGGCAGAACGCTTTCTGCTACAGTGCCCTCACCTTTGCCTCTCTCCGCCAAAGCAGCTTCTCCTTTCTACACGCCCAAGCCAAATAGGCTTCAGCCAGTTTCATTCCAGGGTCCCCCGGCTTCACCCACGATCTCTCTCCCCAGCCTACCTCCCTCCTTGCAGAACGCAGAACTCACACTGTCTACAGGGCTCTTGCGGGGAGCTGCCGGGCTCCCCGCGCGCTCTACCCTCCAGCCCTGCCGGCTGCCGAGGTTGCTCCCCGCCTCCTCCAGCCTCAGGCTCCGCATCCACGGTCACCACAAGCCCTTCCTGCCGCCACATGCCGCGGAGCCTTGGCGTCTAGAGGCAACCAAGCTTTCTTAGCTCAGAGCAAGCTGCTTGGCAACGCTAGGCGTCTTCGGTTACCATGGTGACAGAGGATCCTTGTTGCTCCACTTTGAAGCCTCAGATGCGATCTCCCGCCTGCCAAAGGCACTTAAATTCTGGAGCTGTGATTCCAAAGCAAGGGACGTAGCGTTAATTTCTAGTTTTTCTCCCCCCAGCTCTCCAAGAGGGGATTTTCAGGTACCCGATGGGGAAACGAAGTTCAGAAAAATGTCTAAGACCACACAGTAGGAAGTAGTGCAGCTGGAATGTGAACTACAACCCCGGACTCCAACATCTGGGTAGATCACCACGCGGAACAGCAAAGGCGTTCAGAGGGCGGGAAGGTATTGGATAGGTATGGTCCTATCCAATTCAAGATATGGTCCCAGGTTTAGCCAGTCTTATAGCCGTTACATCTCCTTCACGGCTACACACAACGTGATCAAATAAATGAATGTGGAGGCTTCCCAACTTTTAGAGTATAAACTACTATTATTGAACAATTATAGTTTCCTAAATACTTTTATATTCACGGTCTGTTTCAAACCATATTGTTAGGGAAGAAACAAAGCTACAAGCTCAACAGGACTGGTTTATTTCAGAACAAATCTGAGAGGCACCCCCCAGCACTTAGACCAGACCAGTAACACTTGTACAGGCTATGAGGTCTTTTATAGGGTCATGAACGTAAAAGGGGTTGTGAAAGGAAAAAGTCAAAATGGGACCTCCAAAGGGGAGGTAGTGGCACACGCCTGTAATCCCAGGACTCAGAAGGCTGAGGCAGGAAAATTGTGTGAGTTCGAGGCCAGCTTGGGCTACAAAGTGAGTTCAAGACTAGTCTGAACTGCATGAGACAGTGAGACTGTCTCAAAAAGATAACAAAGAAAGAAAGAGAGAAAGAGAAAGAGAGAAAGAAAGAAGAGAAAAGAAAAGAAAAGAGAAGAAAAGAGAAGAGAAGAAAAGAAAAGAAAGAAAGAAAAGAAAAGAAAAGAAAAGAAAAGAAAAGAAAAGAAAAAAAGAAAAGAAAAGAAGAAAAGAAAAGAAAAGAAAAGAAAAGAAAAGAAAAGAAAAGAAAAGAAAAGAAAAAGGGGACTAGTCAGTGAAAAGGAGTTGTGGCTGCCTGCCAGGGCCGAGGCCTGAGAAAGCCCCGGGGTGCTGGTCACCTCTCCCGAGCAGGGCTGAAGAAGGACGGGAGCTATGGGTGTGGCCATGCTTACTGGCCTTATCACGCCATGGTTATACATTTTTAGCAGGTGTAAAAGCACAGGGGTGTGGAAGAGGCTTAAAGGGGTCTCTGGTCTGCCTAGGATGGCTGTGGTCAGACTCCACATACAATTACTATTTTTACAGGGAAGGACATCAAGTTCAGAAAAGTACATCTGAGGAGCAAGCAAGAAAATCCAGAGTTTTTTACTTGGAGCATGAAGCTGCTTTTGTTTTTTCCTTTTGCCCTTATTAAAAAAAGAATTATGTTGTGGTGCTAATTTATAAAAGTTAAATGTGCATTATTTTACAGCACTAAATTGTTCTACATGACTTGTAACCAAATACTAAAGATTATCTTTGTCTCCACTGCACCCCCAAGACAACTACTTTTTACTCATTTGGCTAATACAGTAATTTATTATTTACAACCAGATCAGTGGAACAAAAGAGTCTAGAAACAGACCCAGCTATGTACGATTACTACGTACCTGACAGGGGTGTCACTATGTGGAGTGTTTGTGTGTTTGCTGATGGGGTATGTTATGGTTTATGTCTGGATGTCCTCTTAGAGGTTCATGAGGTGGCTCTTGGGAGGTGACTGGATCTTGGAGGCACGGTACTTATCAGTGGACTCTCCACCACTGAGTTTATGACTAAATGTGGTGTTGGGAGGAGAGTCACTGGGGCCGTGGCCTGGAAGGGTCCCTCTCCATCGCTTCTTCCTTGGTCTCCGTCTCTGTTTCCTGCTGCCATGCACACCGCTTTGGAGCCAGCCAACTACGGACTGAAATGTCTACAAACTATGAGCCAAATAAACCTTTCTTTCTTAGCGTTGTGGGTGTCGGGTATCATGTTAGTGACAAGAAAATAACTAGGACAGAGGAGGTCTTTTAAATAAATGTTATTGGATAAATTGGATATTCATCTGTGAAAAATGAAACCTGACTTCTACCATACATCAAACAAATCTCAAATCAAAAGCACTGCAGGTAAACACTAAAGCTTCTAGATGATAATTTTAAAAAATCTCCACTATCTTTGGCATAGACAAATATTTCTTAAACAAGAAACAAAAAGCATCAATCATAAGAAAAACAATAGATAAATTACAAATCTTTAAAATTAATATACTCTTATGCCTGGCTTGATGGCAATGCCATAATACCAGTACTCGGGAGGCTGAGGCAGGAGGATCACTGTGAGTTTTAAGACCAGCCTGGGGGAGCTGGGGATTTAGCTTGGCGGCACAGCGGCTGCCTGGCAAATGCAAGGTTGTGAGTTTGATTCCCAGTACCAGAGAAAAGCCAAATAAATAAATAAATAAATAAATAAAAGACCAGCCTGGGCTTCAAAGTGAGCTCAAGGCCAGCCTTAACTGCATAGCTAGACCCTGTCTCAAAAAGACCAAAAAAAAAAAAAATTAATATACTCTCTTTGTTAAACTCACCATTAATAGTGTGAAGTCAGCCATATATAAGGTGGCATGTACCTACAATCCCAGCTACTTGGGAGCAGGAAGACTGAGAGTTTGAGGCCAGCCTGTGAAACTTAGTGAGGATGTCTCAAAGTAAAAAAGGACTGGACGGGTAGGTCAGTAATAGACTGCTTGCCTATTGTGTGTCAAAGTCTTGAGTTCAATCCCCAGTATGGAAGGAAAAAAAAAGTATGCAAAATCTAACCAAAGACTGGGACGTTTTTTCAATACATATAGCCAACAATACAATATCCAGAGTATATAAAGAACTGCTACAAATCTATAAGAAAAAGTCTCACAACTGAGTAAGAAAATTGAGAAAGATGAATAAGAACTTCATAAAAAAAAGAACTTCATAAAAATTGAGGAGCTCTAAATAACTAATCAGCATTAAAAAATTGGTTCCACATCACCAGTCATCAGGATAATGCAATTGAAACTACAATCAGGAATTACTATACACCCACTAGAACAGCTGTTAAATAACCAAGAAACAACAAACCCTGTAGTAACAAGAGTTGGGAAGATATGGAGCAACCAGTGCTTTTATTCCCTGCTGACAAGAATGTAGCTTGCAGTGACTACTTTGGAGAATTGTTTTGGCAGTGAGAGGAACAGTTAGTGCTTATATTATTTGATCAGTTTTTGCATGCCTGCACCTGTAATCTGAGCAACTACTTTGAAGAGAACAATATGCAGGGCTGGGGATTTATCTCAGCGGCACAGTGCCTGCCTGGCAAGCGCAAGGTCATGAATTCAATTTGCGGTACTGGAAAAAACCCAACAACAACAAAAAAAGAACAATATGCCATATAATAACCATTGTTAATTTCCTATCATCTTGTTTTTAAATTCTACATCTTTTTTGTCCCTTTAAAGTAAAATAAATAAATTAACAAAGCTGAATATAAGCATAACCTTTAGCCCCACAGAATATACTAGGTATATACTAAAGTGTGTAATATGTGCACCAAAGCTATATATTAAGATATTCCCAGGAACACTATTCATAAAAGTTCCATAAAAGAATCAAAACTAAAAATGTATTTAAAAATTAGTGTGTGTTCATGTAACAATACAGCAATGAACAAGAAAAATAGTTCTACATGTAGAAATACAGATGAATCTCACAGATTCAACATTAAGTGAAAGAAATCAAATGCATAAATGCACATAGTAGCCAGGTACAGTGGCACATGTCTATAATCCCAGAGATATAGGGGAAAGAAACTCCCAACCTGCTAGATGTCCAAAATGCTGAGTTCCGAGGCATGAATTGTAGGAACAACGGAGGTTAAGAGTAGGAGGAATGCATTGAAAGAGAGCTTCTGTCTAAGAGGGACAAAAGGGGGCCGCCGAAAGTGAATTGCCCACCAGCCCTACTTCTCAAAGGTGTTTTATTGAGTAAAGCCACGAGGGGGCGCAGGCTCAAGGTGGAACAGAATTATAATCAATCAGTAAGATTGTGGGTTAGTAACAAGTATAGTCACTTAGGTAATGGGAAATCACAAAGTGGGTATGAGGTGGGGCAAAACTATGGTCAACCAATAAGGTTACAATAAGTATAGTCCCTTGGGTAGTACTGAATAAGTAGGGATCAAATTGGGAAGCAAGTCACACAGCAAGTCCACGTTGGATGGACAAGGACCTTCCTGGAAGGGGTGGGTTAAGGAGATTTCCACCCCAAGGTGATTGATGTTTATGTAGAATATCAATCACTGCTGTGCATCCTTAGGGGAAATATATGGATGAGTGGTTCCTCTTTATCCTGAAGTCTGGCCTTCAGTGAATACGCCTCCAGCCACACTTGTCTTCTGCATTGACCTCTCCAGGGGGCAGCACTGTCTGAACCAGAATTTATTTTTGAGACAGGGTTTTGTTTTTTGTTTTTTGTTTTTGGTACTGGGAATTGAACTGGAGACCTTGTGTTTACCAGGCAGATGCTGCTCCACTGTGCTAAGTCCCTGGCTCCTCCCAGTACTGTCTGACTGCCTATAATATTTCTACCTAACTTAGCTATCTATAATACCAGCACTCTAGGAAGCTGAGGCAGGAGGGTCCCAAATTCAAACCCAACCCAGGCAAATTAGCAATTTATCAAGACACTATCTCTAAATGAAAAATAAGGGGTGGTTGTGTAACTCAGTGCAAAGGCCCTGGGCTTAATCCCTAGTAAGAAAGAAAACAAAACTGCAAATACACATAAATGTAAATGATTCTGTTTATGCAGGCAAACACTAAGTAATGGTGACAGCAATAGAATAATGTTTACCTTTGAGGGAATACTAAGGAGGTGAATGTCTTGAGTTGGATGGTAGTTATTGGAGACCCTTTCAACAGTGCCAATTATCAGGGCCCGCTGCAGTGAGTCCCCGATCTCCTGCCCAGAGTTACTGCCCACTGCAGGAAAGAAAATGAAAATGACAAGAACTTGAAAACAGGTAGGGCTCTGGGACTCTCAGTGTTCTCTGGGAACAAAGACCCAGAATGCCCAGCTAGCCATCATTTTATTTAACCTGTGAAGGAGGAGTGGTAAGGTGCTTTTCCTGGAACAGCATAGA